CTGCTCATCTTCACATCTGCTCATCTTCACATCTTCTCATCTTCACATCTTCTCATCTTCACACCTCTTGCCCTCTTGCCCTCTTGCCCTCTTGCCCTCTTGCCCTCTTCTATTTCTCTTCTGAAGGCGGGGGCAGGGGCAGTGCCAACGAGACGGCACGAAACGCAACCCTTTCACACGAAATGAGGTTCGATCGCCAAAAACTGCGGTAAAATTGCGATTTGAAGGTGTCCCGTCGCAACCCTTTCGCACGAAACGAGGTTCGATCGTCAAAAACTGAGGTAAAATTCCGATTTCAACTTGTCCGGCGCAACCCTTTCGCACGAAATGAGGTTCGATCGTCAAAAACTGAGGTAAAATTGCGATTTCAAGTTGTCCCGCGCAACCCTTTTGTGTGTAAAAGTGTTAGTGTGTAAAAGCGTCTGTGTGTAAAAGCTTTTGTGTGCAAAAGTGTCTGTGTGTCAAAGTGTTTGTGTGTAAAAGTGTCTGTGTAAAAGCGTCTGTGTGTAAAAGCATCTGTGTGTAAAAGCGTCTGTGTGTAAAAGCGTCTGTGTGTAAAAGTGTTAGTGTGTAAAAGCGTCTGTGTGTAAAAGCTTTTGTGTGCAAAAGTGTCTGTGTGTAAAAGTGTTTGTGTGTAAAGGCGTTTGTGTGTGAGAGCGTCTGTGTGTGTGTGTGCAAGCGTCTGTGTGTCAAAGTGTTTGTGTGTAAAAGCGTCTGTGTGTGTAAAAGCTTTTGTGTGCAAAAGTGTCTGTGTGTCAAAGTGTTTGTGTGTAAAAGTGTCTGTGTGTAAAAGCGTCTGTATGTAAAAGCGTCTGTGTGTAAAAGTGATTGTGTGTAAAAGCGTCTGTGTGTAAAACCGTCTGTGTGTAAAAGCGTCTGTGTGTAAAAGTGTTTCTGTGTAAAAGTGTTTGTGTGTAAAACCGTCTGTGTGTAAAAGCGTCTGTGTGTAAAAGCTTTTGTGTGCAAAAGTGTCTGTGTGTAAAAGTGTTTGTGTGTAAAAGTGTTTGTGTGTAAAAGCTTCTGTGTGTAAAAGCTTCTGTGTCTAAAAGCGTCTGCGTGTAAACGCTTCTGTGACGTAAAAGCTCCTGTGTGTAAAAGGGTCTGGTTGTAAAAGCTTCTGTGTGTAAAAGCATCTGTGTGTAAAAGTGATTGTGTGTAAAAGCGTCTATGCAAAAGCGTCTGTGTGTAAATGCTTCTGTCTGTAAAAGCTTCTGTGGGTAAAAGCTTTGTGTGTAAAAGCGTCTGTGTAAAAGCAACAGTGTGTAAAAGCGTCTGTGCGTAAAACTGCCTGTATGTGAAAGCGCCTGTGTGTAAAAGTGTCTGTGTGTAAAAGTGCCTTGTGTGTAAAAGCGTCTCTGTGTAAAAGTGTCTCTGTGTAAAAGCTTCTCTGTGTCAAAGCCTCTCTGTGTAAGGGGTTCTCTGTGTAAAAGCTTGCTCTGTGTAAAGGCTTCTGTGTGTAAAAGTGTTTGCAATGCAAACTATTGTCTTGTACTTGTGCTATATTTTCTTGATACTCCTCTTCTCGACTGCCTATAACACATCTTTAATATATTGTTTTGTAATATGGTGTCTCCATACTAACAAGAGAAGACCCTGCTCCTCTACGCTCTCGGGCCATCCGTCGTCTAGTTTCTGGAGCTCTTGGTGATTCTGTCAATCACATCTTTTTCTTTCATTTTTTGGGCCCGTTCCCCGACGGTGTTTTTTGGCTTCACCTCCTTGGTGACAAGAGGGCTTGCTTGGAAACACATCTGTCCTAGTTGACTCCATGGCCAAGAGTCAAAGGTCCGCCTCGACCGCGTGGAGGAATTCCGTGCGAGGCCGGCAGTGTTCATGGACAAGCCAGCAGCCCCAACCTTCACCAGTTGGCCTGAGCTGATGGAGGTGCTTGAGGGACATCTTGCTCTTGGGTCTGGACCAAGGAGCGTTGGGGCATGATCGCCGGAAGCCGACGGCTCTCTGGATCAACATGACTGAGGTCACAGCCATGAACGATGTCAGAGACAGGCGATCCACTCCACCATGGCCAGAAGACCTCAGCGAAGCAGTGGAGTTGTCACGGAGCCTGGCAGCATGGAGTCCAAACGGGCTATCATCTCCAATGCAATGGACCAACCTGGAGCAGCGGTGAGGATGATGCAACTGCATGTGAGTGGTATGAACACGTGGCTCAGGATCACTTCCCCTACAGAAGGGACTGCTATGAATGTGTGCAGGTAGGTGGCAGAGACCGACCACCCTCTAGCCTGGGTCTTAAGCTTCGATGTGGGTGGCCCATTTGCACCTGGACGTCACCACGATCGGGTGTATCCACGCTACATGCTGCCCGCCAACCTGACGGTGCCCGTGCTGAATGACCTGCCTCTGATTGCAGGCTCACGTCCCAAAGAAGAATCGCTCCAAGTAGCTGATCAGCCAGACGAACTGGATGTTCTTGGAGCTCAACTACATGATGACGATGTGGACCTTTTCAAGATGGAGTCTCCACTGGTGGTGGAGGGCCAAGAGATAATGAAAACAAGGCCGATGCTCAGCCCCAGCCGCCTGTTCAACCTCTCGGTGAAGCAGGTCTTGGGCAGGCTGAAGATCAGAGTCAAGATGTTGAAGTTCTTGTGCCGCCGGATGTTAACCCGGATGATGTGGCGCAAGCAAGCCAAAGTTGCAGACCTTCAGCGGTTCCGCATTGTCAACTTGCCCGTGGCCATCCCGTTAACAAGTCGAAGAGAAAGTCACGTGGTGGAAGCCGCAGCAACTTTGTACTCCAAATGGCATGGACTGCAAATCCCAATTGCAAAGGTGCATCCAGATCGGGCCAAAGAATTCATCTCCACAAGATGGAAGGAGTGGCGGAATGGCCGAAGAGTTCCATGGCCACAACACCTGGTGACGAGCCCGCACAAAATGGCAGGGTTGAGCAGTTGATTGGTGGCCTCAAACGTGATGTCCGTGTCCCCTTGAAGGCAGCGTCTCTTGATGAGAGCTACTGGCCACTAGCTCTGCGACATGCAGCCGAATTGAAATTCCGGCGGGTGCTCAGTCAGCTTGGTGCGTCAACACCCAAACTACTTCCATTTGGTTGCCAAGTTCTGGTGCGAACCAAGATTTGGCGACAACGCGCTCAACCATGGAAATGGCCCATGGAATCTGCCACAGCTTTGGGTCCTGCTTCTTCGATGTCTCTCTCCTCAAGTGGTCATTGGGTTGAAGTAGACAACGGTCGTGTTGGATTCCGTGCCACTGTGGTTGTGAAGCCCTCTTTCCATGCAACTCAAGAAGCTGGCATTGTTCCTCTCCAAGCACCACAACAAGTTCATCATCTCGTGGATGACGATGAGGTGTATTCACCCAGCTATGCACCTGAGCACCTGGACAATGACATGGCCGATGTGGCCATGGATGACAACACAGGAGATCTTAATGCTTCTGGCCATGTTCATGCTCTACCAATTCAGCGCGTGCCCGCTGAGCAGTGTGGAAGACCAGCTTTGCCTTGGGGAACTGCAACAAATGTTGCCAGCTCATGGCTTTTGCACTTGCTACCCCAGTACAGCTGCGCAGTGCCGGCGCAATTGGTAGACTGAGAGATGATGGCTCAGCTACCAAGGGGGAGCGCACGTGGATTTTGAAAGGTCAAAGCCATTTGGGACGTTTCACACAAACTGGCAACTGGCATGGACATGCCCAACTGCAGTGACATGCTGCAGGCTCTTTTGCCCCAAGGAAAAAGCATCGCTGTTTGCTCTGCTTGCAATTACTATTATTATCATTATTATTACTCTTATTATTACCGTTATGATTGCTATTATCATTCATTAATGCTATTGTCATTATTGCTATTCTCATTCATTATTGTTATAATCATTCATTGTTGTTGAATAAATATATATATATAGTTATCATTGTTAGTAATATCCATGAATATCCGATATTTTGGTGTTGCTGCACACCTCCTTGTCCTTCGCGCTTCCGATGTGGGCAGCACCTAGCCATGCGCCGGACACCATCACAATATCCAAAAACAATGTCCAGATTGCAATGCGTTGCAAGACGAGTGCCGGAGGTGGCCGGATCCCTAGAATCACGTGGCTGCAAATGAGCTGCTTACTCGGGCTACGGCCCAAGGGGCAAGCGGAACCTGTGATCTCTCAGGGAAAAGAGTGGAAATCATCAAGTCACAAGAGACGAGCAAAGACTCGTTGACATCATGTATGCTGCCACAAACGAAGGTCAAACAAATCAACGCGGTGATGCGTGCATAAGCTGAAATTGCTACTTGGCTGCCGAATCGAATCACATGTTCCGAGTGAAGACTGTTTAAACTGTTTGCTGTGGCTCAACGAGGTTTAGCTGCCTCATCGGACAGAGCTGCTTCAGAGTCAGGCTCTGGAACTGCCGCCCCTTGGCATGATGAAATTTGGCATCGCATGGCATGAAATCTGCCTTCTGCCGTAAAACTGGTAGGTTTCCTCATTTTGGGGTGCTTCGAATGAGCTGACAGGGCCATGCAAAGTTGACAAAGGACTCTCATTGCACGAGATTCAGTCTTCACCTTAAGGGCCGCGTTTCTTTGGTGCGAGCAACACGTGTACACCCCCATTCCATCAACAAGACTTGGATTCCAACATGTCATGTCATGTACATCAAAAGTGTGAGGAACCGTGCAACCGATGATTTTCGAAACTTTTCCTTAAATTTGTCCTTGCCAGCTTTTAAAGGGGAACATTGTCTTTGGGAGCCTTGTCCTCGTCAATCGGTCCTTGGAAACCGGTGTAGAAGAACATCCGCACCACTAAAACCATGCACGCATGTAGAAACCCGCAATAGAATATGCATATGGGTCATTTGGGGTGGGGTTGGGGTGTGGTGGGGTGGGGGTAATAACGTTCATGTCGACTTGAACACACATGGATTGTATGGTGTGCATATGGGGGTGGGGTTGGGTTGGGGTGGGGGTAATAACGTTCATGTTAACTTGAAAATATGTCATGCTACGCTGTGGGATCTTCTCTTGCACTTGCACACGTACGTCATGCTACGCTGTGGGATCTTCTCTTGCACTTGCACACGTACGTCATGCTACGCTGTGGGATCTTCTCTTGCACTTGCACACGTACGTCGTGCTACGCTGTGGGATCTTCTCTTGCACTTGCACACATACGTCATGCTACGCTGTGGGATCTTCTCTTGCACTTGCACACGGCTTTGTGTCTGGTCTTCTCTAACTTCGATCTCAATCTTCTAATCTCCACGGCGAGCCGGAAACACCATCCAACACAGGCACCAATTGGGAAGACAATGGGGGACAATGGGGAGACAAGACCTCGGAAGACGGACGCACCATCCAGCACAGGCACACATGTGGGGAGACACTGGGAAACAATGAAACGCAACCGGAGACAACGGCAGACGGGGAGACAAGAAGGGAGACAATGGGAGGCAATTGGCTGGACAATGGGAGACAATGGAAGACAAGTGGAGACAAGACCTCGGGAACACAGGCAGACAAGGGGAGACAATACCGCGGGAAGGCGGACACACCATCCAAGGCTGAGGCACCAGCCAACACAGGCACACATGTGGGGAGACAAGGGGAGACAAGACCTCGGGAAGGTGGACACACCATCCAACACAGGCACGCATATCTAGGGAGACAATGGGAGACGATGAAAAACAAGACTTCGGGAAGGTGGACCATCCAACACAGGCACACATGTTGGGAGACAATGTGGGACAAGTGGAGACAATGGCAGACAATGCGAAACAATTGGAGACAACCGGAGACAAGGATAGACAAGAAGGGAGACAAGGGGAGACAAGACCTCGGGAAGGCGGACACACCCTCCAACACAGGCACACCTGTGGGGAGACAATGGAGAGAATGGAACAATGGGAGATGAGGGGAGACAAGACCTTGAAAAGGCGGGCACACCATCCCAGCAAGGGAAACAAGAAAGGAGGTGGGAGACAAAAGGGGAGACAAGGCCTTGGAAAGGCGGACACACCATCCAACACAAACGCACATGGTGAGGAGACAATGGGAGACAAGGGGAGGCAAGACCTCGGGAAGGCGGACAAGCCGTCCAACACAGGCAGACAAGACAAGACCCCACCCAACACAGGCACACATGTGGGGAGACAATGGGAGACAAAAAGGGAAGACAAGACGTCGAAAAGGCGGACGCACCACCCAACACAGGCACAAGTGTGGGAGACAATGGGAGACAATGGGCTCAATGGAAGAGAAGGGGAGACAAGACCTCGGGAAGGCGGACGCACCATCCAACACAGGCACACATGGGGGGACAATGGGAGACAATTCGGAAACAAGCATCGGGAAGCCGGACAGACCATTTGGGGAGGCAATGGGAGACAATGGGAGATAAGACTTCGGCAAGAGGGACACACCATCCAACACAGGCACACATGTGGGGAGACAATGGGAGAGAATGGGGAACAATGGGGGACACGTGGGCACACCATCCAAGAAAGGGAAACAAGAAGGGAGGTGGGAGACAATGGAAGACGACAAGGGGAGACAAGACCTTGGGAAGGCGGACACACCATCCAACACAAACGTATATTGTAGGGAGACAATTGGAGACAAGGGGAGACAAGGGGAGACAAGACCTCTGGAAGGCGGAAAGGCCATCAGGCAGACATACCATCACAGGCACACATGTGGGGAGTGACAATGGGAGACAAAAAGGGGAGACAAGACGTCGTGAAGGCCGACGCACCATCAAGCACAGGCACACGTGTGCGGAGACAATGGGAGACAAGGGTAGACAAAACCTCGGGAAGGCGAACAAGGGGAGACAAGACCTCGGGAAGGCGAACACACCATCCAAAACATGCAGGCATACATGTGGGGAGACAATGGAAGACAAGCATAGACGGGTAGACAAGACCTCGGGAAGGCCGACACACCATCCAACACAGGCACACATGTGGGGGAGACAATGCAGGGAGACAAGGGAAGATTGAAGACAATGGGTTCAATGGGAGACAAGGGGAGACAAGACCTCGGGAAGGCGGACACACCTTCCAACACAGGCAGACAAGACAAGACACCATCCAACACAGGCAAACATGTGGCGAGACAATGGGAGACAAAAAGGGAAGACAAGACGTCGAAAAGGCGGACACACCATCCAACACAGGCACACGTGTGGGGAGGCATGGGAGACAATGGGCTCAATGGGAGAGAAGGGGAGACAAGACCTCGGGCACACCATCCAGGCACACATGTGGGGAAACAATGAGAGACAATGGGGGGCAATCGGAGACAAGACGTCAGCAAGCCGGACGCACCATCCAACAAGAGAAAACAAGAAGGGGCACAATGGGAGACAAAGGGAGAATCTAACAAAGGGAAGCAAGAAAGAGCACAATGGGAGACAAAGGGAGACAAGAGCCTCGGAAAGGCAGACACACAATCCAACAAAGGCAAGCAAGAAGGGGTACAGTGGGAGACAAAGGGAGGCAAGACCCTCGGCAAGGCGGACGCACCATCCAACAAGGGGAAACAAGAAGTGTACAATGGGAGACAAAGAGAGACAAGAGCCTCGGAAAGGCAGACACACAATCCAACAAAGGCAAGCAAGAAGGGGTACAGTGGGAGACAAAGGGAGGCAAGACCCTCGGCAAGGCGGACGCACCATCCAACAAGGGGAAACAAGAAGGGGTACAAGGGGAGACAAAGGGAGACAAGAGCCTCGGAAAGGCAGACACACAATCCAACAAAGGCAAGCAAGAAGGGGTACAGTGGGAGACAAAGGGAGGCAAGACCCTCGGCAAGGCGAACGCACCATCCAACAAGGGGAAACAAGAAGGGGTACAATGGGAGACAAAGGGAGACAAGAGCCTCGGAAAGGCAGACACACAATCCAACAAAGGCAAGCAAGAAGGGGTACAGTGGGAGACAAAGGGAGGCAAGACCCTCGGCAAGGCGGACGCACCATCCAACAAGGGGAAACAAGAAGGGGTACAATGGGAGACAAAGGGAGACAAGACCCTCGGGAAGGCGGACACACCATCCAACGGGGAGACGGGAGACAAGGGGAGACAAGGGGAGACAAGACCCTCGGGAAGGCGGACACACCATCCAACAAAGGGAAACAAGAAGGGTTACAAGGGAGACAACGGGAGACAAGGGGAGATAAGACCCTCGGGAAGGCGGACACGCCATCCAACCTCAAGGCGGACACCTTAAGATCCTTCTTAAGAAAGCATTATATAAGAACCCCTAACAGTACACTGCTTGAGGAAAAATCAAGCATACGCGATTCAAACATCTCATCCGTCCATCAGAGCTGCTGAACCCGGTTGGAAAACAGTCTGGCAGCCATGAACCGCAAGTTTGCGGCAGGCTCCGATACATCTGCTGAGGTATAGCTTTAGCTAGGGCGTTTTATTTGCAACTTACAACCCTATCTAGCAGTTCTGCAGTGTGTAGATAGCCTCTACACACAAAGCGTGGTGAATATCACTCGAGGGTTCTGCCAGTGAAGAACTCTCCAGCTGCCGCTTTCTGCTTTGTATGCTTTGGTCATAGATTTCTTTGAGTGACAAGTCTCTAGTGCTTCAGCCAAGCCACTTGGTGTGGCTCGTGGAGCAGGCCTTGTGTTTGCGTCCGCAACTTTTGAAAGTTTTGAAAGTCTTGAACAGTTAGGCCCGAGATTTAGACAACCTCGCCAGCATGCAGCCTTGTCCATTCAAGAAAGGTGTGAATTCTGCACTTCTGCACTGAAGTTCACCCAATCAATCCGAATCATATATAGATCAACATCGAGCCTGTTGCACCATCAACGTATGGCTGCCACGCCCCGTCTTTCGGTGGGCACAGGCCAAATGCCCGCCATTGCTTCAAGTGCCCTTTACTAACTTGCGGAACTAGGAAGTTGGAAAGGTTCGTTGGCACACTGACAGCACGACTGTCCCAGCACATTCAGCGCAAGAACAAGGACTTGGCAGAAAGTTCTCTTTTCAGTGCTCAATCTGCAAGACAGAGCGATGAGGCATGGGAAAAGAATGGAAAAGATGCAATGATGGGCCTGATCGGCCTGATGGGACTGAAAGGGCCTGTTACAACACATTACAACATTATTACAACATTATTGCAACATTGTTGCAACATCGTTGTATCATGTTGTCTCATGTTGTATCATGTTGTATCTTGTTGCGCTCTGTTGGTTTCTTCATCCTCTCGCCCTTGGTTGCACAATGCTTTCCAGTTGCACAATGCTTCCCTAATGCTCCTGGGGCAATCCACAAACACAGCTGTGTGCTGTGGAAACATGCGCCATGGCCATGGTGAAAGGTCTGACACAGGTGCGCGAACCATCGGCAGGAAAGATCTACACAATGAAGGAAACTAACATACATGAAACAAACGTTAACAGACAAATCCACCAAGATACAAAATGATGTGGACAATTTGCACATTACTGGTACTCATTGTACTCATATGTACTCATCACAGTTGTCGCCAAAAAAGTCTAGAGCGGCCTCCTTTTCACTGAGACACGCAGCATTGGTAGCATCTTACGTCCAGGATCCTTTGGATCCCTTACACATGCAAAACATACTCAAAGGGCAAACTATTCAGTCCCTGAGGGAGCACTAGTTGAGACATGCGAGGGTTCGTCCTCCGAAGTTGATAGAGCTCTTTGTGTATCCATTTTCGCAAGTCCACCAGATCTTTCACTGTCGCAGTGTTGCTTCCCCGCAGCTTCAAAGTTCTCGTCATAAATTCTTGGAAGGGGATCTTGGTCAAGAGTTCTTCGCTTTCCCCCTGCCAAGGCTGCCAAGGTTCCCAGTTGTGACTCATTCTTGAACATGCAACGTACCAAAGCCATTGCTGAATTATGCTGAATAATCAAAACTTGCTTCACCATAGTTGAATTCCTTTCGCTTCAAGAACCCTAAAGATTTGTCATGGTTCCTTGACCAAACGTGCTAGAAACTCTTGTTCCTGTCATTTCATGCCTCAAAGAGCACATCTGCAAAATTGATCAAGGTGGTAGCATCAACATCTGCTTCACGCAAAACACGCCGAACTTGTGGATTTTCGATCATATGCTGGAATTCATCCAAGTCGATGCAGCCATCGTTGTTGGTATCTGCTCCTGCTTGCAAGCACCTCAGAAGTCAGGGCCCAGGCTCTCACAGGGTCTAGTTGCAATGCTGAACATAGAGTTCCATGCACAAGCTTGGAGGGCAAAGCAAAACTCCTCAGAATTCCAAATGATGTTGTGCAATGATGTGCAATGATGTGCAATGTAATTACTAGTTGCAACTGATATCGTTACAGTAGATATCATTGGTGCATATTGGTGCATATTGGTGCATCATGGCACATGTCCTTTTAGTCAATTTTAGTCTCTGTGCATCACCCCGGCACTGTTGCAAGACCTCTGTGGTCCAGCTCACCTGGAGGGCTTCCCTTTCCGCTTCCGCTACTGCCGTAATAACTTCGCAAAGTACCCCAATCAGCATGTTCATAATGGTGACAGCCGACATAATGATGAAGATGTACATCAAGGCAAAACCAACTGGGCTGTCATCCCGCAAGAATTCTATGATGTCTGACACGCGGTCCAAGAGTGTGCCATGCATGGCCAAGCTGTGCATGGACATAGGTACGTTTCGAAAGAAGTCCCAACCTACAGTAGTGCCATCCAAGACCGCTCGGAACGCAATGGCAAAGACATAGAGGCAAATCCCCAACAGAATAAGGGTGAAACCAACTGACCTGGCTGCTGAAGCAACCGCCTTCACCATGATGAGAAGTTCTGGGACCATTCGGATGAGCCTAGCCATTCTCAGAAGCCGTGTGAGCCGCATGAGACGGAAAACACGCAGAATCGACGCATCTCCAAGGACATTGCCAGCACCCGAAGAAGATGCCATAGTGAGTATGACAAGATTCATAACCTCGACACTTCTCAGTACACTTCTCAGTACACTTCTCAGTAGAATTTACAGAGCTCAATTTAGCCATCTCAGATCATCTCAGTACACAACAGGATTCTGGATCATCTGGCAGATATCTGGATCTCAAAATGTACTGTATGAGCCAGGTGAGCCAGGTGAGCCAAGCTCGCACTTATTTACTCTTGACATCTCTTGACCATGCACTGAAACAAACCCAGCGAAAATACAAATACTTTAAGTATCTTTAAGTTGTTACACCTATTGCTTGTATTCCCTTACCAATCTTACCATTAAGCGTTAAGCTCGTCACCCATGTTTCTGCCACCATCATCACGACCAGCGCCAAGTCAAAGACAAACCAGCCATCTTTTAGGCAGTTGCACTTGATCTCGAAGGCTCCAAAGCGTATCACTAGCTCAAAGAAGAAGTAGCAACAAAAGAGTTGCTCGCACACAATGAATACGGGGTTTTGCTTTGTGATTATATCCTCTGTGTTCAAATCCATGTCAACAGACATGTAGAGCGCATAGACGACAATCACTGCCATTGTAATGTTTTCAAATCGAGAAGATTTTGCAATCTTCTGGCAAATGCCTGAGATTGATCTCTTTCTGGAGGCATACTCGGTGATCAGCAAGAGTGGAAGACAATATATAATATATAATCATATATACATATGTAAATACACGTATGTATATAAATTGTCATCTACTGTACATAGTGTATATATACATTGTATAATACCCACGTATCCATACACATATGTCATATGTCTATATGTGCCAAGCCTTTGCATCAAATCAACAACCGCTGTCTGCTGTGTCAATCAAAAGCTGGTTGCAATGAGCTCTTGCAGCCGCACAACTGTCACAACTAAGCTGCCTGAAGTCTTGTACATGTTCTTCACATCATAGCGAAGTTCGGCGCAGTAATCATTTGCTAAAGCCGCCTTGATCTCATTGCCGTGGCTGAAGATTGGGTGCCTACACAGAAGCAGAAAAGTGAAAACATTGCTTCAGCAGCGGGACTAGGAGTTGCTGCGCTGCGTGCTGTCTCAATCAAATGCATCAATCGGTATCCATAATCTTTATCAATCTATCATAATCTATCCAGTGCCTATATCAGTGAGCACCAGTCTGAGTCTGCCTCAATCCATATGATGCATATTGCACACATATTGCATATCATGCTCCAATGCTCGACGTGGAATGCGTACAGTCGACACATCTCACACATGTCTACAGTGTGCAGTGCCCAAGGCCGGCTCTTGGCGTCCCGCCTTGGATAGCTTTGCTGAACTCCCAAGGAATCCCAATCAATACGACTCCCTGCACGTTCCATTTGGATTCCCCGGGTTTCCCGGGAGCTCCCAGACGTATCAAGGCTGCGATCAATCTGCACTGTCTTCGGACTTGGTGGCTCTTGAGGCTCTTGAGGCTCTTCCTGAAGCATGCGGCAATGCAATGCAGTTCCATCTGGTTCGTTCCGTCTTTGGTTGTGCAGCCGACGGTAATGCAGTCTGAACTTTCGTACGACCTGTTTCAATTAAGTGTTGGATTGTGAAAGCCGAGTTAGCCAATGCTCAAGGTCAAGCACGACGCGATTCAATTGAGGCCTAGTCCTTGACTTCTTAAGACCTCGTAAGTTCAGAGCTCCTAGTAGATTATTGCAATGGAAAAATGCAGTGGGAAAACTGACTGGAGGATTTGCCATTTATGAAGAGGATATGGGGACAACATCGAAAAACGCTTCTAAGATCTTATGAGGTCATCGGCACATTATTTTCTTGCAGACTTGACTCTTGACCCCATCCAAGTCTAGTTATAAAAGTTTCCTCCAAAACAAATGTTCATCCAAACTGCTTGCTGGAAATTGAATTGTAGTGAGGGCGGTTTATTCTTAGAAAGAGCTGCCGGATATTTTGAAGAAGTCAGTGGCAAAAGTCAGAAAAACACATAAATTTTGCAGAATGTTTCTTACAAACTCACATTGAGCATTGCAAAATGCTGAGAATTGTTGGTAGGATTCTGTTTGAAGATGTTTGCCCTCGTGCCTGGGTTGTGTATTTGGCCTGCCATGCTAGCCTCTGTTCCATACAACTGGAAACTGCATTCGGCAAGATGGTCCAAAGACAAGACTTGACCAGTTCTTGACACCACCTTTTGCATGTTCGACACACCAGAGAATGGGACGCGGGGAGACGGCTTGTGTCTAAGCACCTCCCTTTCGAGAAAGATAAATATTTTTGCTACCTTAAAAAGCACATGAAAGTTTCATGAAAGCACATGTTTGCTGATTTGTGATTGTAACTTTGGATCTCGCATTTGTCCGAATTCAGTGGACATTTTGTGGTATGAGTCGCATGAGTAACAAAAGTTTCATACTTTGTTGTGCAACAGGAATGCTGGCTCACCGAGAGTGGTGCTGTCGCAGCCGACTTTGACAATCCGAAATCAAGGTTTTTAGCGTTTGTGTGTGTGCGTCCGTGTCCATGTGCGGAGTCAAACCATCAAACCTCGGATTTAAGATCGCTGGTTCAGCAAGCCAAAACTGGGAGGTTTATCAGCACTCTATCAACCAAAAATGTTGTAGGTAATTGAGGGCAAAGTCAGGAGCAGTGAAAACTCTCTCTGCACAACATGTCCGTCACCACAGGAAACGAGGGCAAATCGCATCAACCATGAACATCTAAATCAGATAAATCATGCACCTAAAGCCACGCTTACCTTCTGCAGAACTTGCGCTCCAAGGATCTTTCACACAGAATATAGGTCTTCATTTCCACCAAGCATCTTTCACGCTATGTGTCTTGACAGAGAAGGCATTGCTACGAATGCACTGTTTATGCTAACTAAATTACCATAATATTGCCCACAAATGCGCAGTTTCGATAAATTTTGTTTCTGGAGACCTTCGAGACCTTCGAGACCTTCGAGACCTTCGAGACCTTTGGCTTGCCAAGTGGCTGAGATGGGCTCATTGTGGTCCTTGTTGTCGGTAGACTGCACAGTCGCAGCCTCCAGTTCCAGGGCACCATGAGAGGCCTCGGGGCGAATCTTCCGAGGCACCTCGCAATGGGGCGCTGAGAATCCCAATTGAGCATGTTTTCATTTCAAAATATTTCAAAATAATTCAAATACGGTCAATTGTCTGCAAATGCACCAAGTCGATCCGAGTCGATCCAAATCGCAAGCATGGGAGTGACGGCAGTGATCAAGCTTTCTGCTGAAAATCACTGCCTACAAAATTGCAAGCCAAATTAGTTTGTGATTTTGTGACAGTTTATGCTTGATCGACTTCTGCAGGAGTCTACCGTTTCGGCCTTCAAAGCTTCTTTGTCATGCAGGGCTTCCCAAAGCTGAGAGTTCTCCCCCAAGAGCCTCTGGTATTCCTAGCGATGCAGGAACCACGGCGAGTCGCCAAATTTGCATGGACGTTCTGACTCAACATCACTCATCATGACATGGCTCAACATGGCTCAACAGGACTCAACAGCTACTTCGGCCATCTTCGGCCCCTTCTCAACTTTCAGCCCTCCTCGGAGATGAGAGAGATGTAGTTGAAAAAGAGCTCACCTTGGTCGTTGACAATCTCAAATAATCTCAAATATATGGAGCTTGTGGCTAGCGGTACAATGGATACCTCAACGGAGGCTATGCCCAAATGTCTACTGTAACCCAAATTGCGTCACTTGCTCGACGGTGACTGCAATCGAACATAAAATGAATTGTCAATTGTAGGATATTGTAGGTGGGAAACTAAAACTCATTTAATTTGGTCGACAGTGTCGGCCGAGTTGACAGAGTCTTTGCAGCACTTTGCTAAAACGTGAGAAAGAATATGAAAGAATTCTAAGAAACAATTGCTGAATCTGCATGAATCTGCTATCAAGATGCTTTGGTTCTGCATTCTAGCTGCAGGAACTTCGGCCAACCTTGTTCTCCGGTCCTCCGTCTTTGTTCTGACTGTGGATGTGCAGGTTGACTCAAATAAATTACTGTAGCAGTTGAACTGCACATGTATATGGCTCATCGGTTCTGCTGTCTATTTCCTTCTACGAAGCAGTTGAGCTGACAACGAGTCTTGGTAGTCTGAAGGATCAACAAAAGCGATGCGATACTATATGACATGACATGATATGACATGATGTGACATTATATGACATGATATGATGCTGCAATATGCTCCAGGCTCTGCTGGCAATGGGTTCTGCCCACCATCTTTCGACCGGATGCCCGGCTGATCAAAGCCATCGGTGAGCAGCACAGATTCAGCTGTTGATTGACGTCAAAGTAGATATGCCTCTACCTCAACTCTGTGCTACGAACTCTACGAGTACTCTGCCAACATTCAAATCAACTCTGTGTATCTCTGTGTCTGAATTGCCCTTTGCACACCCTTGATTTCTTTTTGACCCAAGCTGATTCGAGGTCAATGCGCATCCACCAAACGGTGGTCGCAGAAACATCCTTGCAACTGACATGTTTCGTTCAAGCGCAAGTGTCACTGAGCAGTGAAATCGACCTCCCTCTGCCTTGGTTCATTGGAGCAGCTTGGATTGCCAGATTTGGTTAAACATCCATGATTTCACGACACCTCGCGTTGTACCACAACGAATGCTGGTTTCAGCGCACTGCAATGGATACAATATGATACAATGAACCCGGCACAGTGCAAGCAGCCTAAAGCCCAAGTTGTTTGGGCGCTTAATCGCATTTCTGAAAATTTGGGGTTGTGGAAACGACCGTGCGAATCAGTGCGACAACAACAAATCATCTAATGATGTCAGTCATGTCCACACTTTGTTCTGGTCTGGGTGCCTTTCAGAAATCCAGCTAGGTGCAGCCTATCTGAACCGGCTGCGGTGTCTGGGCAGTTTCACCCACGGCCACTTCATGTTTCGAAGCGGTGAGACACATCGTATGGCGAGCAAATTCAACAAGTAGCGAAAATATAAGTATATAAGTCTATATAAGGTACCAGTAGGTGTCAAATCAACTCAAATGATGTCAAAAAAAAATCCGAGAATCTACATGGTCAAGTATAAATACAAGATAAGTACATCATTTTACAATATTTTACATCATGTGAATGAATCAACGTGTTCACCAAAGCAGTCCAAGATTGATTCTGGAATACAGTAATCTGATTAACCCAGCTTTGCAACCCAACAGCACAGAGTCACTGAGGATTCCAAGTTCAAGGTGAGCGGTGAGAAGGCTCTCGACTAATAGTGACTAGTGACTTGTGTCCATGTTTGGGCCACATATTCACTCTGTGTGTGGAGATAAGGTGACAAACAAAGTGTGAGAGACAGTGGGAGACAAAGTTTGCGACAAAGCGAGAAACGAATTGGGAGACAAGGTGGGAGACAAGGTTGCAAGGTTCCAAGGTTCCCTTACCCTGGGGGAGGAGGGAAAATTCGGAATACCAATCCCTACTTCTAGATATTGAAACCCCACAGTGTTCTGCTGTTGGGAATTTGATCCGATTTGATCCGAATTGATCATTTTCACGTCTTTGTAACAGGGGAATCTCGTCACACGCTGGGAGATCGAAGTCTCTTACTCCGCTACTGCTCTGGGCAATCTCCCAATGTCATTATCACTGCCTCGCTGTCTCGTTCCCTTTGCGAGCATTCCAAAAACATTCCAAAATCTCGATCGGAAAAATTGAAAACAGGATGAAACTTGGCACAATCAGGACCTCCTTATGGAGGTTATCAGTTCACTCTATGCGGTGCATTTGCCAGGGTGTCTGGCAATCACAAAGGCAAAGTTGTTGTGTCTGATTGGATCATGATAGTTTGCGGGTTTTTCCGAAATATAGAAAGTGAATGTCTTATATTTTGATATACAGTAAAATATATAAATGTATTTTGATATACAGTAAAATATATAAATGTATTTTGATATACAGTAAAATATAAAAATGTATTCTATATATAACATCATCTCTTTTTGGAACGTCCCCCATGATTGTTATTGTTTCGAGCCATCACTCCTCGACCGAATCTTTTGCCGGCCTCAGCGAAGTCCAGGATTTGACATCTGCAATGGTGAAGCTTTCGGTGCCCTACCAACATGTTTATGGCCTTTTTATGGCCTTTTCATAGCGTTTGTAAGTTTGTATCGCCTTTTTCATCCTTTTCTATTTTCTATAACATGTTCACCATGTTTAGCATGTTGCATTCAGCAATGCACTATGTAGAATGCATCGGAATGCATCAGAATGCAATTGATCTATTCATGACATTTCATGATTATGGATGGCTACGGCTATGGTATTTAGCAACTATGGTTGTGTGGCCTCTTGCAGCACGCATGCGACATTGAAACCACAACAAATGGCAAAGACACAAGCTGTAACAGCAAAGCCTGCGCGGTCAATGGGGGTTTTCAAACAAGGTACCGAATATCAACGGAATATCAATAGATTCAGTATGCACAAGTGGGTGCTTGAGTTGCTTGAAGAGTAGCCTGTTTTGTTGGTCGGTCGTTTAGTTGCCGAGTTGGTGTGGAGTGTGGTCGGACAGTTGAGTGGCGTTGATTGAATTTTGAATTTAGGTTTGATAAATTGGTGTTTATGTATCTGTTGGTCTGTTCAATTGCTGTTGAACTGCTTGAAACAATAAGTGGTTGAGCGCATCTTTGAGTGAGCATTGTTTGAAGGAACGCCTACTATAATAATTGTCGAACGGAAATGAACGCAAACACAAGCAAATGCAGAGCGAATGCGATTGGCTTTCCATCCCAGGGGAATCGTAGCGAAAAGGCTGAAGTGCTGGCAATTGGGCCAAGTGCCCACAGGAAATTCAAGGGTCAAGTGCCTTCCATGTCAACGCAAGTCTTCGGCATCAATTCTACTTTCTTATTGGCGTGGAGCCAGGGCACTGCACTTGATTCTTATGGAAGAGAGTTACTGGCACCGGCACTGTGCAACCAATCAGCGCGTGCTGATGCAAAAGAGTTTGCACCGCTTTTCTAGCCTACGCCAGATCTTTTCAGTCTGGCTGATTTCAAATCTTCCAAATGTAGTTCTCAGCGGAAATTCGGCTACTGAAAATCGCGGCTCCGGTGTTCGGAAACTCTTCGCAGCGCATGCCACTTGAATCTTGTTTCGTGGATTCTGGTGAAAATCTAATGGACCATGTTCCTCGTCTCACTGTAATCCGCATATGGGAGAGATCCATTTCCTTGGTTCCGACATCCACCCACATGGTCTCCGTGGCTGTCCACTTCAAGCTCGAATTTGGCTTTCTCAACACTGACCTCATCCAAGCTACAGTGAATGCAAGGGATTTCTGGCTGCCATAGCTAGCGGGGTTTGAGTTGCCCTTATCATGCACATCCTTTGCATCTGATCTACAACCAACGTACATTTCACAGCATTGATTGCAACATCAGCAGCCCGACCCAGCATGTTGTGTCCTCAGACTGTTGCTAGAAAGCCGCGACACAATTATCCAACGTCTAGTGCTTCTTCTGCTGTTGATGCTTCGGCTGCACAGGTGCTTCTGCATACACGTGGAATTCGGTGAGATCTCGCATCATAGATATTGAAGTGACCTTCACGACCATCTGTCAGATCACCATCAGCCAGCAATGTGAAATAACATCCTTGAGAAGCATACCTTTTGTGATTGCTTCACCTTGATTGGAGCCATCTCTGCGTACGTTGCCCAAAGCAGCGTCGGACACCATCACAATTCCAGCCGTCTGGTAACTGATGGGTTTGAAGATCGAACCTTGATGTCGCTTTGAAGCCCCTGATCAGAGAGTTCGTACGCAAAACTGTGGCAATCCTGGGGGGGCCCTCCCCTTGTAGTGTGGATACGCCAAAACTCATGTCGAATCGGATTTGAGCTGCAAGCTTCCTAAATTACTAAAGCTGCCCGCAACTTCTTCGCCTCACAGGCATCCAGTTCAGCTGTAGTGTCAGATTTGCGGCGCTTCGCAATCTGGATCTCTGCAAGGTTCTCGTGGTACTCAGTCATGGAAAGTCTGATTGTTCCATCTGAAGCTCTGCGGATACGTTTTCCACACCAGGTGAAGTCAGACTGCTCTAGGCTTCCAAAACCCAACTCCTCCCCGATTGCATCCACAGACAACTTCCCTCTGCAACTGCCGGCAAAAAGCAAATCAACAACATGTGCCACCATGATGGCTTCAAGGATGCTCTCACCCATCCCATTGAGTATCCACAAAAGCCACATAGCCCCATCAACCAAAGCGCGTGGCCACCCATGTTCACGCATCGATCGCGAAAGTCGCAATCACCATTCACGCGGTGCATCCGCACGGCCAAACACTCCTTTCAAAACTCTGCAAGGTGCAGCGATGAGGAGCCAATGGGTGAAGAATGCAGCAACACTGAACGAGAAATGTTGCGCAAGTCGAGAGCCTGTTGGTGCATCACGTCTCAAATGTCCTTCCAGGTTGGTCTTGTCCTTGTATCCTGGAACCACCATGCGGCTGCTTGCCTTTATCGGCAAAGGGTGAGAAGCAGTCCTGAGAGAATCATGCTTGTCCGTCAGGCCGAAAAGTGGCTGAAGAATTCGATCCAGTTCACCCCGTCTAGCAAGATGGTTGCGAATCTGTTGAGATTGTTGAAGTGAAGGACCTCTATGGCCTGATTTTCCACATAGACACTCCATCCATTTATGGCAGCAGCCTTCCAGAGCTCTTTCTTCTCCGGGGACAGCTGCATCCAGTTGTACTCTTTGCGAGCTCCCTGTGTTCCGGCTGCTTGCATTACATCATGGGGCTAATACACATCTGAAGCGCCACAAGGTCCATGCCATTTCCTCGACTGCAAACGACGTGCGGGTTGGCCATCCGTGCGCTCCTTCTTTGACTGGTACTTCTGAGCACGCCAGAAGAAGACAAAGTCACCAGGGTGGGGTGCTTCCTCTGCTGTTGGTCTTCTTGATCTCGCAAGCTCAGCCTGCCGCAGTCCGCGGCTACGCCAATGACATCCCATTCACGCTGACGTGTGTAGGACCATCTTCCATCCCAGCTTCCGTGGCCGTACTGCTCATTGTCAAGGGGAGCACGGTGATCCCTTTCAACTTCAGCTTGCAACACAAGCAATGGGTGGGTTCCTGGACCCGCTTCAGCAACATTGGCAACAGTCAACGCATCAAAGGCAGGTCATCCCTCCAACTGAATCGAATCAGATGGACCACTGCTTGTAGAAGGCTCCAGCATCTCTGCAGGTCGCCTGGCAGGTGCCGGCGGCTCAACAGAAGCAGGCCGCTTCACACCACGCTCAACATCCAAAGAGCGAGCTCGCGACCATGAACTTTGCAAAGAAGTGGAACTTTGAAATCTTCCGCGACCGCTTTCAACTGGAACTGAGGCAGGTGCTGGTGCTTTCTCAACACCAGATTGCGACGCGACATCTTCCAAGCCCAAGGATTCCCTTCTGGAACCAGGTGCAACTGCACTCTCTTCAGGTTTCATTGCCGCAAGGAGCTCTGGAGTAAAAGGCATAGGTTGAGGAACAGCTGCATGCTCATCCACTTGTTCATCTTCCGCAGGATCCTGAACAACATCAGACGTAGGATGGGCTGCGTCACGCTGTGCAGCACGCAAGACATCATCAATGCCTGCTTCCCAGGAACCTGATGCTATACCCTCCAATGAAGAGGCCTTGCGCACATGCTCCATTGGACATTTTGTCAATTGTCCTCTGAAGGAAATGAAGCGATTTGCAGCAAAACCAATTCCATTTGCACCTTCACTGGCAACGAACCATCGCCACTCGGGCCCTTTCACGAATGGCCACTTGTCTATTGAGGGCTCAGCTTCAAGCAGGGAATGCTCAGCCAACCTTTTGCCAAAATCATTGAGCATGTCACCACAAACTTGAGGATTGCGTCCTGTGACCAACTGCATTCGGCTAACACCAGCTTCATGCGGATCTGCATTGTAGGCTGCAATGGCTTCACCTGCAGCCTCTTGCATCTCGCTGAATGTTGCCACCGCATGAGTTTGACATAAAGCACCAACCAAAGCCTTGAGGCTAGCTCCTGAACGTTCAGCAATGCCCTTTTGCCATGGCGCTCCCACGCCCACACGGTACACTGGCACACGCAAATGGATTTGGATTCACACCACGCACAAAAAGCTGCAGAGGCGAACTCTTTGCCTTGATCTGCAACCAATGTATGCGGCGTTCCATCAATGGCATCCAATGCACCTGCAAAAAGTGAATCACTGCAGCGCTTGACTTGTTTCCAGACTCGGCCAGCTTGACACCTGGACACATGATCCGTGCAGTGGCCAACAAAGTAGATATCACATGTAACATCAACCCCGGGCCCGGATTGATAACCCCCCTGGCTGTTAATCATTCTATCTCACCGTTTTGATTGTAAATTCATGCGAATGATATCACGTGATCACTATTTTTGGTGGTAAATCACTTTCATTAGTCAACCTCCGGTCTGCCAATCCAAGGTTGACATCTACCCGTGATTCATAAGTCCCACCTTGTCACTCTGGTCCTCCGCCTGGCTCAGTGGCGACCATGGAGTTACAACACCCGATAGGTTGGGATATAACCACAACATCGTGGCAAGAAACATGGCTATATACCACCTATACACCACCGAAACGTGCAGTGAATCTTTCAAAATTACCAAATCGACATGCAACTGTTGTCCTACCTCTCTGGGAGGTGGTAGCGAAGCAGGCAAACGACTGTTGGGAGGAATTCGCTCAGTGCATACCGAACAACGTCGTTGCTTGGCAGCCTCAATAGCTGCAGGTGGTGCGCCAGCAATGAGAACTGCTCGCGCCAATCGAAGTCTGCCTCTGTGGCCAGTGTTTATGTGCAGCTGATGAGCTGCTTGACGGGTGGCAGCAGGAATCACAACATCTTTTCGAGGAGCGAATCCTTCTACTCATCCATCAGACTCCACCGGTTCGAGCTCTTCGGCTGTCTCCTGCTCATGTTCCGTCACCAGCACTTCAGTAGCGGCCACATCGACAAGGTCAAAGCTCTCGGCATGAATGGCCTCAAAGTCATACTGAGCCATGAAAGCACTTACACCTGCGTTTGCAAAATCATTCGTGTAATGACCAGCTGGAGTCGTCGCCTTTGAACCACCAATCACCAATGCATGAGAATGCTCACCATTGCATCGCGTGCACAAAAACAGAGATACCAAGGCTTGTGATTGAGAAGTCTTGTTGGTCTCTTGTGATAGTTTCCATCTGCATTCTTCAAATTGAAACAACACATATCCACAATCACTTCCGCACGGTTTCGAGAGGCAACCACCTCCGGAAACCTCCAAGCAGCAGACGACAAGTGTTTTCAATGAGAAAATGTCTTCCACCTTGAAGTTGAATCAATGCAACACCCAACGCCACTAGCACCAAATCAAAATCCACTGCTGCTGCACAACGCTCTTGCAAGCCATTGCCAGGGTTCAAATTTTGCAAAGCACACCAAATATTGCATGGAAAAAGCCAAAATCACAACATACGGCTTCAGTCTCTGCACAAATCGCTTCGCAGCTTCTCCGCGATGAGAATCTTTGAAGTCCCATCCAGTGCCAAGGGTCAAGCTGCCACCGGCTTTCAAACCTTTGCGTTGCGCAGCCTTGGCAATGGGCTCCGTATCTGCATAGATTTCAGTCACACAAGGCCTGAGATCAAACTCCATGGCGAAGGTTTCGTTCATGTAGTTTTGCATTTCTTTCTCCCACTCCGCCATCATGATCACACACAGCTGCTTGCGATCCAAAGACACTGCCAGTTGCTGTCCATGCTTGAGTGATTATCTGTCGCACTCCAGGCTTGATCTTCTGATCTGCATTCAACTTGATCTCATCCAGATTCACGGTCGGCCCATTGCTTCACCGGGCTGATCTGAATCCAGACTGAACATCTCTGGGGTCAGCATCGATCCGGTCGCTGGGGCACTCTGCATGTTCACCATGTGCTGCATGGCCTGATTCATCATCGTTTGAAACGTCTGATGCGATCCTCTTCCAGCTGTTGCAACTCAGTCGGGCCCACTGGTGACCCTCTGACAACTTTTTCAATTACGTTTCCATCCAAGCAGGCCCACAACATGTTCGGCCACAGGCCGAGTCGAGAGCACCGACCAAATATTAAATATTTGTCTTCCGCCAGAGCCTGGGCAGGACATTGCATGAGATCATCTCGTTGAGTATGTTGTGAAAGAGCTTCGTGCAATGGCACTGAAAGTCAGTGAACAACTGAAGCTTCATGATGCATTGCTTCACCTGCAACTCCACCAGCTGATGGTACCGTGCTTGATGCATGCGCCGAAGAAACTGATGAAGGTGTGGTGAAGGTGTGGTGAACTCGGCATTCAACGCTTCCGCCAGTCGCACTCGTTTTGCTTTGGGACGAGGCATGCCATCGGCTTTGCCAAGTCCAGCGCCTGGCATTGTGCAGTCTTTGCCACCTGCCCAATGACCGTGCATGTTGCAGTCGAAGCACGGGTGATTGCCAGACGCTTCCTGACAGAGGCTTGTCCAACATTTCCACCATTGGACTTGGAGCCACCAGCTTTCCCATAGCCACGATCCTTCCGGATCTCTTGCGATCGACTACGTGCTTCCTTCATAGTCACAAGAGCTTCAGCACACTGCTCGAAGTTCTGCTCGAGCGATTCCAAGGTCTCACCATCCACGAGACTCCACTCCTCAGCTTTTCGGAGTTCAGCAGCAAAACATTCGGCTTGGTCTTGTAGAAATTCCTCCGAGGCTGGAAGCTCAATCACTGCAGTCTCATGGGTGCTCTCATCGGGGATGAGTTCAGCTTCATCTCCGTCAGCATCATCTGGAACCTCAGTCAGCAACACCTTTCTCATAGTTGATGACATACTGCTCTTTCCAAAAGACTTCTCGGAAAAGTTGGATGGAGCCCTGCTGCAAGTAGTTCCAGCAGACGCAGAGGCTGAAGAACTTGGCCCGCCACCGCCAAGCATGCGCTGGGTGGTGATCTTTGGACGGTCTAGTTTTCGGGTCAGCCGTGTGCAAGTCCTTAAAGAGACGCAGCACTTCTGCTTCGATCACAGGATATTCCTCAGCACCTTGCAAGGCAGTTTCAAGCAGTTGTTTACGCAGGGGATCAAATCCAAACTTGTCCTTCAACAACCACCCAAATTCAGGTGAGGGCAATTGCACGCCCTCTGACTTCAAAGCGGCCACAGCAGTTCTGAATCTCGTGCAAAACTCTGAGATTCATTCACTAGCTTTGCGTTGAGTCCCCAAGTAGAATTGAGACCTAAGCTCGCCCTTCTTGTCTAAGGACGTCATGCCGCTGATCCCTTCCAAGGCTTTCATCAACTTGTTCAAACCAAGCAGGCAATCCTCTGGCTCAACCTCAATGTCCTCTTGGGTTTGGGGATCTTTCATAACCACAGCAGGCTTACATTTATTTCAACGCATCCGGTGAAAACTCTTCTCCCTTCTGTCTCACAATTCCACTTTGTTTCAGCAGAAATCTAGCAGCAAGGTTATAGTTATATCGCTATTTAGACTGTAAATCCAAGGACACACACCACAGCATCTCACGCTTAAACGTACGCCATGTTGTAAGTGAGCCATCCCAAACGGGGACAGTGGACCACGCTCCAGAGCTCTTCTCCTCATAGCTGTCCAACATCACCAGTAGCCCTCAATCAATGAGGCCAGTCAATTCGCACTAGCACAACAATCCCTTCAGGGCAGCACAAGATGAGAATCCCGCGATGTGAAGACACTGCAAAAATTCGCGCAGAGGCAAATCCAGTCAGTAACCAATCCAGCGACGCTTGTTGCTTGGGATGATCAAAGAAAAAAATGTGCCCCTCAAAGCTTGCAAACGAAATTAGATTCAACACAAAAGCTCACGCCCCTGGATGCAAAGCCAGGCCCCGGTGACACGGTTGAACGGATATGAACGCAAACACAAGCAAATGCAGAGCGAATGCGATCGGTTTTCCATCCCAGGGGAATCGTAGCGAAAAGGTTGAAGTACTGGCAATTGGGCCAAATGCCCACAGGAAATTCAAGGGTCAAGTGCCTTCCATGTCAATGCAATTCTTCGACTATTATAATGAAACTTGGAATGGTTAGTCATTCCCTTCCAGACCTCCTCTGATGACCCTCAATTCAAGACCTAGTGGCTCGCTTCCCACAGCAACAAAGCCTTCACAGGCTGAGATCCACCACTGAGGATGGGACCTCTCAATCTTTGGTCTTAAAAAGTTCAGATATAAATTCCGGAATGGCCTGGCAGGTGAGCCCAAGCCCCAAACATCAAACATCAGGCAAACATCAGGCGCAACCTCAGAATCACTCGATCTACTAAAGCCATCTACAGCCTACAATCTACAAAACAATGGCCGGATATGGTGGAATGAAGTTTGATCTGCACGAGCCAGCTGCACCAAGGGAGGCACCAAACTGAGCAAAGCATCACAGCGGTTAGACAGAGACATAATGCAGAAATGTTGGTAACTCCGGGTAATTGGGTCACTCGCTGACGATGACAACTACTACTTGCATCTACTTACTATCTACTGCAAACTCAAAACTCCTGGAAAAACCAGCCACACAAATCTTTTGAGACTGACTACAAGCCAAAGTATGTTGCACACTCTCCTGCACTCAGTTTCAGGCCAACATAGTCGTACTCCTTCTGCAAAATATGGAAAATAAGTTGAGTACCCAATGGTGGTTCAGTTGATTGGAGATCCGTTGAAAATGTTTTAGTTAGTGATCATTAACCACTTAATTATCATTAACGCCTAATGGTCATGCTGGACCTGGCCTCCGTCACCACTTTCCAAAGGAGAACTTGGCATGAAACCCTTGTGCCACACACGTCTCTCCTTCCAGCGATATGTCTCAGTCGAACCAGCAGCCACGCGCACTTTCTGATACCTGAATTTTGATGTTTGAAGGTTCAACTTCGATTGTGCACAGTCCTTCTCAATATTGTTGAACCATATGTCAGTTTTTCAGTAAGCAGACAAAATATGCAGCAGAACCACAAAAACGAGGAGTCGACATCGATCTCATTGTTAGAGACATATAGCTGCAGTTAGCCGCACCGGTTGAAGTTTCCTGCTACTTTGGCCGAGATCAAGGCTCGTGGATAAGCACAGAGATCCAGCAGTTCACAAAGACCAGCCTCAGCACACTACAGCCACAAAGATTGAAAAACACGAGAAGTCCTCGAAACTAGCAGAAAGTTCCCTTCATCCCTCCGCTTCCCTTTCCTTTGAAGGCATGTCTGAGGTCCGTCCCCTCAAGGCCCATGCCTCATCAAGAAGTAGAGCGCCACATTGAAGCTCAACCTCGAACCATCTCGAACCCAAGTTTGGTCTACCAGCGGAGTTCCAACAGCCCTATGTGTGGCAGCGGTGCCCTGCTTAGCAGCACACAACCCTCCCACACACAACACTCTCACACATAACTCCCTCACACACAAATTACTCACACACAACTCTCTCACACACCACTTATTCACACACAACTCTCCGACACACAACACGAGTGAGGGACCAAGGAAAAAAACATATCAAAAAAAATAAACCAGTAGGATCAAAAAAACTATTGGCTACACAAATCTGTTCTAGTCTTTGATAGGGAATATTTTTTGATCTGGAATAATTTTTTTTGATCCGGCAACGAGGGAAGGGCAATTTCTAGGAAAACCCTTGACAGTACCGTCTTCCATACAAGAAGTAAGCTTCAACACGTGGAATTCACATGGATTCTGGTGTACACAGTGTATACATCATCCCACTAATCGTCTCACATTCCTGTTGGAAACGCTTTCAGATAGTTGATGGTTCAACAATGGCGTTCAGCTGCGGTCTAACCATTCAGTTTGCTGTTTTTTTTTGTTGGTTGAAACCCTGAAATTCTTTTGACATCCGTAATTTACCTAGGTGTGACTAGGTACGGTCTCCTTTTTTGTCATCAGGCATTTCAACACCAATCGCTTGACACTCAGCAGCTATCCAACAGAATGACAATACCCGTTTTCACACACAACGCTACATGCAAAAACATATATATATATATACATGCAGAGAAGTGTATTGCAAGTGTGACTTGAATAAAGAAGCGGGAGGGGGGGATTGGGGGGAGGGCTGAAGAGGGGCACTAGCGTCTATTCAAGATCAGCTAGAGCGTCTTCCCAAGACAGCTTCACACCCTTCTTACTCACGGCGTATTGCCTGTCGGTGTGGTGTCCACAGGGTTACTCTGTATATACCTCTTGAGCCTTGAGGGGTGCATATAAATGTGCTCAATACTCATGCATGTACACGCATAGGTATTAGGTTGAAACAAAAACACTGGCACAAATTCAAAAGCAATGAGTAGAGCACTACGCCTTGTCGTACCCAACTGGTATTAAGAGTATCTTCCTGCATTAGCTACACAATGGCAAATCGCAAAAACTGAGCGGAAGGCGCGCAGTGGTGTTTCAACAAAAGTAGCGGATTGAAAAAGCGAACAGTGACATGTCGAAAAGAAAACAGCGGATTCGCTAATTATTTCTAGGTATGACCAGCGGTGCACTAGGCACGGTCTCTCCAAGCAAAATGCTTGCTCTACCGGTGAAAAGTTCGGATTCGCAAGATTCAGAAATTGAGGTCAGATGGAAAACAGTTGACCAAATTACAAAATAACCGGAATTATCGGATCTCCAAAGTTGCTCATTCAAGCAAACAATGGACAGAAATCGGAGTTGGTAAAATGTTGATTCGCTCCATTTGGAGTCTTTCATTCGATTCGCTCCATTCGGAGTCGTTCTGCTCGGCGGAAGGTCTACGGAGACAAAATGCAAATAGTATATCTCTATATACACGGAGTATCTATCTACATTAAAGTGAAATTCAGACACGGTAGTGGCATTATCTCCAACTGAAGGTAGTATATGCCAACTTGTGTAAAATTGAAATCTCGATTTTAGTATTTTCTCAAACTGCATCGAGTTTATACTCCTTTTAAAATAAAGTGAGCGCACAGAAAAACTGCACACGGCTTCTCTCATGCTGTGTTATCTTCATCTACAGAAGTATACACTCACTTTGGTCTCCATGTTCTTGAGGGTCTAGACGATGAAGCTGAGGATCCACCATAGCCACGTTGTGACCTGTCGCTCCAGCCATAGCCTTGCTGTGACCATTTCCTCCAATCTTGCCACGTGCTCTTATCATCATCTTCCCAGGCTCTCCTCTTGTTCGCTTGTTGTATTGCCTTTCTGTCTTCCTTCCGTCTCTTCTTCATCTCGAAAGGTCTATACTTCTGTTTCTCACCCCATTGCATATCTGAGGGTTTCAAGTGAACAAGAATGGGATTGTGAGCATCAGTGTCTGTTGGTGCGACCATAAAGATGTTGTGATCACTAGACAAACAAGTTTCATTCATCCTGAAGGTAAACTCACCAACATAGTCCATGTGATCTTGGTCATCAAAGTCGTTGAGATCCTCTGACAAATAACGCCTTGCATGTCCCCATTCAACAATAGACATCATACAACAGTCACCATAACCATGAGTCTCGGTTGCTAGGTCCTTGGTGAACTTCTGAGTTGTAATGCCATCTAGATGTGTTGCAAGAAAATCAAGGTCACGATAGCTGCACGAGATAAAGTGCTTGACTCTCACCGGTGGACAAACTCCAAAATGTTTATTCCGAGCTTGTGTTGCAACATTCATCATCCTGTTGATCCAGTACTGCAAAAGGCTGTCTTTGTATGTGAGTACTCCTGGACGTTTTGGTGTTGACAAATAACAAGCCTTGTTGCCATCTCCAGCAATTACATCAACCTGGTATCTTGCACACTCGAATGCCATGCAAGCAATGCTTTCACCAGTGCTGCCAGGACAGTCACTCACATGCTTCTGTCCCACGTGATACACACAAACACGTGTCATCGTCATCCTCGCCCTTGAAAGATCTTGTAGTCCTTGTGTGTCACGTTGTTTGGTCTTTCCCCAAGAAACTTCGAAGATTGCCCAAGATACATACCGGATGCGTGTATCATCCTTTGGTGTATTGTATCCAGCAATTTGTCGAATATATCCTTCCTTACCAATCCGAGCGGCAACCATCAAATCATGATAATCATTGAGGCAAGTAGTGATCTTGGCCTCCTCCAGACGCTCCCTGAAAGGGTAGATACTACCAGCCTCGAAATTCATGAAAAGATGTGCCCCGAGGTTCTTGATGACATTGATGAAATAATTGTTGTATTGTTATTGCGGCTTGTCATCTCCAATTGGTTTGTGTTCATGATCAATGTTGTAATCAATGTTTGGTGCAAACCTCTGTAGTCGTTCAGGTAGTGGACATTGTTCAAAACGTTTTCGGCACCCATTTCCAAGATTCCAAAACATCAATGAGAACTGTGGAGAAGATCTGTAAGGATGTTCTTCATCCATGTGAGTAGGATCTATGGAGCCACCTCCTAAGTATCTGGAAGCCAAACAATTCAACACGAAACAATAAGGTAATACCTTGTGTTCTTGAATGTAGCTTTCCAATACCTTGGTCAGCGTATTGAAATCATCATTGATTCTCCTCTCTGCTTCCATGGCTGCCTTCTCTGAATGTTCTTGGTGTAGTGGATGTAATCTCGGATCACTGCAACCATATTCACATGTGTTCTTGAATGCGTCTAGTTCTTCAAGAGGAAGTTGATCTTTATGTCTGGCGATGTACTCTAGCATCAACTCAACATCTGTATTGGAATGCCAGTGATTTTGATGTTGATCTGTAGTTGCCCTGTACTTCACGTGCCAAAACATATGTCGATGTTGAGGGGAAACTGGATAACCTTGATTATAGAATCCTGCCCATTCACCCTGGTAATTGTTGGTAAAACAATCAGCAAGTTTTCGAAAAACTGAATCACCTTCATTACCAGTGATATCGCAACCATAGTAAAATCTCTTGGCAGGTTCCTGTTTTGGAGCTGTGTCATCCCTTGAATCTTTCCTTGATTCCCCTGATTCCTCCTTCTGCAAGGAGCCCTCAGGTGGAACTGATGTCTCCTCCTTTGAAGAATCTTCAGCTTGTGGTGGAAATGTTGGCTCCACAGGTTCCTTCTGTTCTTCCTCAACTTCAACTTCTTCTTCCTTCTCTTGTGCCGTGACAGCTCTCTCCATGATGATCTTTTATTGAATTATCTTGTTGCACATGCTAAGCCACTGAATTGTACATTCAACTAAAGAAACATCTTCAGCTTCCAAAATGATGTGCTTCTTCTCCTTGTTGAGATGTTCAACATTGCCTTGAAACTCAGGTTCATCACGATGACCTTTTTCGATGTTGAGTAGGAGCAGTTATACCATCATGCTTGGAAGACACTTCTTCACGTTTTTGTGTTTCCTCTTTCTGCAAAGAGCTTACACCTCCTTTGTTCTTTTCTTCCTCTCGAGATCTAACTGTCACTTTCACAAAAATTTGAAGCCTGCGTTTCATTTTCATCATCTTCTTCCATATCCACATCATCAGCTTCATCATTGGGAACATGAGAAATCTTGCTAGTGTTTGCGACCCAAATATATCCATCAAGCCTTGTAGGTGTATGAAACTCACCTGCATGTAAATCACGCGCTTTGGTTCTTGAACTGGTGATTGGTGAAAAGCTTCATGTTGGAAGAATTGATTGTAGGCATGCTCAACAAAGAATCTGTAAGACTGAGCTGTCAGGTCTTTTCTGTTTTCAACAAACTGAACAAGCTTTCGATGAGCATAGACAGTGTAAGAACTGAATTCCTTGGGAGCTTCTTGTTGAAGCAGGTCAATTGCCAAAACCATCAACTTGGTGGAGAACGAGAAGTGTTTCTCTGGATTTGGAATGACAGTCTTCTTATTCTTGGGAACCTCGACATTTGTATCTGTCATGTCATAACCAGAAGTGTTCAATTCCAGTTGATCCAGTTCTCTTCCTTGATCATCAACCACCTTCTTGCAGAAATCTCCCCAAATTCTGTCGTTCTCTCTGGTGAGTTTGTCGAGATGCTTCCTGTAGAACGTAAAAACTGCTTCTACTAGCCACTCCATATCATCTTGAATCAGGAGATCACGCTCATACAGATGCCAAACTTCTGGCCATTGATCTCGATCAAAACTCAACCTGTCTTCCCATCCTTCAGGTTCATCTTGTCCTCTCATCCAGTCTGTTCCAGAATAGCGACATTCTTCTGAGGTCCAAGCAGTTTCTCCCATTCTCTCAGGACAATGATCTTCTCACCTGAAGAGCATTTCAACATGTCCATCTTCATCTCGAGAACAGACAATGCCGGCCTCATACAGGATCCAGGGATTTGATGC